GCAGGGAAATGCAGTAAAAGAGTGAATTATCTCATGGGTAAGGTCTACTGCCTCAGATAAATGGGATATCATTCTTGTTTTTGTCTTAGAAGACTAAAGTGATTTTCCCAGGAAAACCACAAGCATCAGTCACGTTGCCTAAATACCTGATTTTGAGCATCAGTAATCTGCTTCTGTTATTTTCCCACTAACTGTAAATGAAGGAGAAGCATTATAAAACTAAGGGCTGTGATTTATAGGAGTTTTGTGTTCCAAAACAGAGCACCAAAATTCCCTGTTGCTTTGCCAGTGCAATCTTTGTGCCATCTTTCTCCCTGTCTGGAAAGGAACTGACAATAAACAATATGCAAATATTTATGGGAAAAAAAAGTTGGAGAGGACTAGGTAGGACTCCAGGGTAAATGTGGTAGGCTACAAAAGAAGAGAGAAATAATTTGTCACAGGGCACAGGAGTAAATGCCATGCTGAGCAGTGCTAGCAGAGCAAGGAAAGGTGTGAGTATCTTTGTCTTTCCCTCAGTTAATGTATGCCTGGTTTGCACTGATTGACACCGCACTTTAGAGACAAAAACTAAAAGTCATGAAATCTTTCAAATTATCATATTTGACTGAATTTTCATCCGTTGATTTTACTCCACCTGCAGCGCACTAGACAAGGTAATAATTTATGATAATTATATGAAAATATACAATTAATATTCATCACCTCTCATTTCTCATCACTTGAGATGATCAGTAATGCAGAGTAAAAATGCTGTCAGATTTCTAATTGCTTTGTAATGGGCCTGAAATAGGGAAATCGTTAAAGACAAACAATCTGTCACTTGTCTGTTACCTTAACTATCTATCACTTAAAAAAACCCTCATTAAATACATTACTAATGAACGACAAAAGACTGTACTCAGTGTGCCCAGATGTACCTTTTTAAACAATATTGTAAATTGCTTAAATAATTCCCAAGACGTTTTCAATCATTTTTTGGTGGAAATTTAATGGAAAACATATATTTTCCGTGCATGTTACATCTCATTTGTTCACATCATTATGACATTTAGTCTATCATAGGCACATCTCCTGGGAGACAAAGCTTTTCCTTTTTACTGTTGACAAATCTGGTCCGATTAAAGCAAATTCTGGAAGAACTTAACATTCAGATCTCTGACCCTTTCCTCTTAAAAAAAAAAAAAAAAAAAGGGAAAACAAAGAGAAAAATCCATTATTAATTTAAAAATAATATTAACTCTTTCAAGGATTTTTAATATCTAGATTAAAAAAGAAGTTCAACATTGTCCAGTGTTGAACAAATTATTTTATCTCAACTGTTCCCAAAAAACAGAACTCAGAATTTTCCTTTCAACCACCTTGTTGAGCCAGTTGTCTGCAATAGTTCTGACAGAAAATGTCATTTTTACTGACTTAAACAGCACACCAGGAGTATCAGCGAGACCCCACAGTGAAATATGTATTATTATTTGCCACACAAGTTAATTGGTGAGATTAACTGCCACACGACAAAGGTGAGAAAAATGAAGAACAGCCACAAAAATGATTTAAGACAAAATACCCATCCATGAGTGACTTAAACATTCTCAGTCTTTTAAATTTATCAAACCAAATATTCAGGGCTTATTTTAACAGCATATATAAGACACTAAAACACAGCAGTTTAAGGTAAAACGTGGAAGGAGAAACAAAGGCTGGAAACAGGAGCCAAGCAAACTCAAGCTTAGAATTAGGAACAAATTTTACCAGTAGGATGTCGAGGGGTTGAAGAAACCTTCTCACAAGAGAGGAATTCCCCATCTTTTAAAACTGACAGTCAGGCAGAGCATCCTGAACTGGGAACAGTCCTGTAAGAAGTGAAAAATTCAGAGGAGGTGCTCAGGTGCTTTCCTCAGGCTTTATTTCCATGAATCCTATTTTGCTCTCAGTTACAAGACAAACAAGGAAGCAGAGGAGACTGTGCTTTCAGAAAACCATTAACTACATAAATAAACAAGTGATCCAACAGACCCATTCAGGTGCAGGGCTTTGGATCAAGAACAGCACCGTGAAGTTTAACAAATGTCAGCGCTGTCCAGAGAGGGACATATCTGTCCAGACAGGAACCCCAAGAAATAACTCTGCCTTTCCAACACTAAAGAGGCAGTTGTTGCAACAATTGTAATTTCTCAAATATTCTGAATGTTCCAGTTTGGATAAGGCTTTGAACAACCTGGTCTAGTGGAAGGTGTCCCTGCCCATGGCAGGGGTTGTAACTATATGGTCTTTAAGGTCCTCTTCCAACTCAAACCATTCCCTGATTCCACATAAAGCAATATAAAACCAGCACAGACTGAAAGACCAAAAAGGTTCACTAACTCTGAAAAAGACTTTGAACAATACCAGTTGTCTCCAGAAGTTAAAAACATCATTAATAGTTAGAAAGTCTGGACATTTCAGCTGTTTCTTAAAAAGAATAAAATAACAAGGGTATGGTCCATCATTTGTACTCATCTTTTGTTGTAGTGATAGAAGCACACACAGTAGGCCAGTTAAGTCTTTAAATAATTGTTTTCCTGCAGTTCTGTGGCAACACAGCACAACACTGCGGTGTTTTTAAACAAAGTTTAAAAGTAAATCTTGAACTCAGCTAATATTTATATCTCTAGAGATGAAAGATTATCAAATTGGCTTGAGATTGATCAACACAAGTCATTACAGCCAGACAGTGTAAGATTGGCTATGACTAAGCCAAACACAATGTGGTGACTTCTGAAACTGAATAGATTAAAATAATTTTAATTATTTTAAGGCAACTGAGACACAAAAATTATAACACCAGACAAGGCCAGATAATCCTGCAGTGATTTAACTTCATAATCTAAATATTTTGTGGTGCATAAACACCAAACTGTTATATTAAATGGCCTATTTTCTTCTACTTTGGCAGAACTGCTGAGTACACACAGAATAGAGAGACTGATTCACTTCCAAAATTGTTCCACTGACTTCATAGATAACTCCTTAACATGCATTGTTAACTTTATATTCAACAACTAATTACAGATTGTTATACCACTGGATACAATTGCTCACAATCTCTTACATTTCTGGAGATTGAGTATAAACTCCTCCATGAGCTGCCTTTAAGTACCAACCCTTTAATGAGTTTAAACAGAAAAAGCTCTACGTGCAACATTTAAGAATTTTTGGCATAAAGGATAAATAGTGGATGTTGTAACTGTCTCCAGTCTGTAGGAGGATGTTAACCATTTGTGATGAAGGCACAGGTGTAGGAACCAATCTCCAAGACGTCACTGCATCTTTTACAAACTTCTGCTTCATTTCCCCCCTCCACAACAACAGTCTCTTCTCACACACCAGCCCCAGTCAAGAAGAAAACTCATTAAACCACTCTGGAAAATTTGCCTGAGAGGTAAATTCTGGTTTCAAAAGGGTGTACATAAATTAGCTCACACTTGATGCGTCTCATGTGTAAGTCAATGACTTATGTGAAGTATCTAATTGCTCACCCTGGTGCTGCAGAAGTTGGCACCACGTTGGCAGAGGGGGCTGGACTGTCCCAGGGCTCACCCAGGTTCTGAAAGATGAGCCTTTCCCTTTTGACAACATGGACAAACTCACGTTACAAATTCAACCTCAAAACAGCAACTGCTGTGTAGAGACACCGATGACCAGGACAGGCAAAAATCACCCTGACGATCAGGCCTTGAGCTGTTTTGTAGACCTCATGTTTTCCACCCCTACCTCTATCCTCAGAGAAGAATTTAAATAAAGAAGAACTCAGACAAATTTTCCGTGTTCATCATTCAGCCCCGACTGTGCCACAGCCTTCCTGTGCTGGTGGTTAACGGGAACAACACCCCAGGAACATCAGCCCCAGTTCTCCCTGATGGTGTCTGCACAGCCTGGCTGCTGCTCTCTGGAATATCTCTGGAATATCTCTGGAATATCTCCACTGAGGGAGACTCCACACCCTCCCTGGGCAGCCTGTTCAGTGCTCGGTCACTGCACAGCAAAGAAGTTTTTCCTCGTGTCCAGGTGGAACTTTCTGTGCATTAGTTATTGCCTCTTGTCCTAAATCCACCTACCCTGTACTCCTGTACTGAATAAACCTGAAGGCATGGTATTTTAATATATTATGAATACGTATCTATAAATATACATTATGTAAAATATGCCTTTACAAAATATTATATTTAATTTTGCCTGGACTGGTGTTTAGGTGTTTCGCCAGCTAGGTTTGACCGAGATTCCGAAACCCGAAGCGGCAACTTCAGCTTCATTTTTACCTTTTTGCTTGTTTGCTTGTTTGTTTGTTTGTTTGCTTTTAACGAGGAAACGTCTCCACCTACGTCAACATCAAAAGCCCTGCTTTCCGAGCTTGTTTTTGTTTGTTTGTTTGTTTGTTTGTTGTGTCATCAAGAGTACGTTCCTCCTTCCCCTTTCAGGACAAGCATTTCCCAGGAAGAAACCGCCCTCACGGAGCCGGCACGGGGGAGCGGGGGAGGTGGGGCGTGAGGAGGAGGAGCCCCTGCGGGCTGGGGGGCGAGGCGGAGAGCGGGGTCCCGTCACAGCGACACCCCTGAGGGCCGAATTCCCGAATTCCCGAGGCCCGGATTCCCGAATTCCCGGATTCCCGAGGCCCGGATTCCCGAGGCGTTGCCATGGCGACGCGTCGGGGCGGTGCTTCCTGCTCGTGCGGCGGCGGCCGCGGCCCGGCTGGAAACAGGCGAGGCGGCCTCGCCGCTGCCGCCCGGCCGAGCGGCGGGAGGGTTGTTTCCCTCCGGGCGGGCTGCGCGGGACGCTGAGGCCGGTGCGGGGCCGGAGCGGGGCCGGTGCGGGGCAGGTGCGGGGCCGGTGCGGGGCCGGTGCGGGGCCGGTGCGGGGCAGGTGCGTGTTTGGGGCCGGGCCGGGCGCTCCGAGGGGCTCTGAGGGGGCACGGCAGGACCGGGGCGGGCTGAGGGGGATGTTCCGGCGGCGCCGCGGCCCGGCCCGCGCCCAGGCGGCCTCGCTGCGGAGGCCCGAGGTCCTTTTCCTTCCAGCATTTAAAAAAAAAAAAGAAAAAAAATTTATAAAAGCTGTTTATTTACACAGCTCTTGCCTGCCGGAGGTGGTGTTTCTTATCAGGGAGTTCATGGTAAATCATTCCGCTGTACCCAGCTTGAAGCTCGGACACTGCCGTGCTGTTACTGGCATTTAATTCTCCTGTTTGGTTTTGTGTTTTTTTTTTTCTTCCTGGGCCATTAACTTGGTGAGAGAGGTTTTACTTAGAGACCTGAGCTAACTTTATGTTTTGGTTCGGTTTTGTTTATTTGTTTTTACGTGCCCTATTACTTTAATAGTAAAAAAAAAATTAGTTAAAGTCTTCTTACCCGGCAGGATGATGGAGTGTCCATGCTGTGAATGTCATTATATTCATATATCATTTCATTTATTAATATAATTTCATATATTTCATATTATTTCATATGTTGAATATCATTTCATAATAATTATTCCATATGTTGAATAGTATTTCACATGAATTATTCCATATGTTGAATATAATTTCATAATAATTATTCCCTATGTTGAATAGAATTTCATAATAATTATTCCCTATGTTGAATAGAATTTCATATATTTCATATTAATTATTCCCTATGTTGAATATACGTCATATATTGGTATTAATTATTTCATACGTTGAATATGTTTCGGGTCTTCAGTATATTGAATATTCTGGGCCTATTCAGTATATTCATATTTCAAAATCAAAAGCGTGTCTTTTAAGAAAGTGTGTATATAAAAGGGATTTCTATAACCTGGGCAGCTTCAGAACAGTTCGTTTTAGATGCAAAATGATTTTTAAAAAAGAATGGGTTGCTGAACTTAAATCACTTCATGGAATGTGAATTAAACTCTTTTTTTTGTGCAATAGTTCCCATGTTGAGAACTATATACGTGGATGCTGATGTTATTCCTGGGAGCCCAGCTGACTTGGACTTGTTAATAATATCTGCTTGTATCAGATCTTCTTTTGAAGCGTGTAGCAATTACTAGATGTGGTTATTATACCTTCACCTAGGGAAAAGAAGCTCACCATAAATCACCAAATTGAACAGGGTTCAGAAGTTTTATCAGTCATGCTGGATATAAAATGCTGTTGGGTAAACAACTCTCAGGAGTTTGGTAATTCTTGGCTCATTAAGGTACAACTCACTGGCAAGGAGAGTGCCTTCCCTGCCAATAAAATCTCATTGCATCTCCTCTTTAACTGCTTGAATCGTGGTAGCCAGAGAAAAGCCTTTGTTCCTGGGAGTTCAAAACATAGCAAAATAAGATCCAGGACACCTGTAAAGGAAATCAGGAATGATTTTATTTGTGAAGTGTCGCCCCGTCAGTGCTGGTGCTTGAGGATTTACAGTCTGTTCCATGATCCTGGGGTTTGCCACAGCGTCCTTGCTTTTGCTTTTTCTGTTTCGAATTGTCATTCTGGTTTATTTTGTTTTCCTACCCAGTGCTAAGGAGGCAGTTTCAAAGGCAGTCGGGCAGTGGCCTTTGGAAGGATGGCACAGAAGGATTGGTACCAGGTGCTGGGAGCCAAACCATCGGACAGCCCTGCGGAGCTGAAGAGGAAGTACCAAAAACTCGCCTTATTGGTAAGTGCGTGTTGGTTATTTAAGATGTGCAAAAGTGATTTTTTACAAACCACTGAGCTGCCAGTTTTGGTTTTACTTTTTTTTTTTTTGTGTCAATACCACTGATCAGAGTGTGTTTATAATACCGGTTCCCTGAAGCTGGTTCAAGTTTGAAGTGGATAATGAGGCACACAAATCAAACAAGTCATTGTTTGTAGCAGTCACGAAATTTGCTGACTGATGTTTGTGGTACTTCCTATCAGTTGTGCAGTTACACTGGGCCGAATGCAACCCTCGAGTACAGGAAAACCAGATGCAAAGAACAACATGAAATTTTTTCCCTGATAGCCTGCAGTCACGGAATAGAAAATGTATAGAGGGAAAATAGGTTAATATTAAATTTTGTTTGCAAGTTTCTGGTGTGTTTTTGTGGAGCCGTGTTCTTGGTTGAGCACCAAGACTTCATGTTCTGTGAATTCCCTTCATTTTTTTGAGCTCCTGCTACATGTACATAAGAATCTCAGAGTTCTGCCAGGTTACTTGGTGTGATTCTTGGTTATTCTGTTTTGCTCACTTCCCTGAATTCAGACATTTTGCTCAAAAGATGCTTTTGCCTGGCTTTCTGAGGAAAACAGAGTGTCTTGTTTGATACTGTTGACTGTTTTCAACTGAATTTGATAGACAAATAGAATTCCCAAGGTAACTGTACTCCTGAGTTTCTTGAAAACTGGTGACCTGGTAGAGAAGAAGAAAGGAGGTGAGCAGAACTCACTTTTATGGGAAAAACTCCCTTTTTTTTTGGGAAGCTGCTAGGTAGGCTGTCAGGATTGGCAGAGTGGTAGAGCACACGCATGGCAGGTCTGCCTTGGTTTGAGGTGTCAGAACAAATGTGAGAAGAAGTTGGGATTTAATGTGAAACAAAGGATATGACAGTGATCATGGCACTGAGTTTTGTTAGACATGAAATTCATGGGCTTGGGGAAGTATTTGTTTATTTTGTTATGTTGTTATGTGAGTGGTTTTTATAATTATTTTATTTCTAACCACTCTAAAAGCAATCTTAAAGTTTGGTCCTTTCACCAGAATATTGCACTTTGACACATTTTGATATTCTCGGTTGAATTCTCTCAGCAGCCCTGCTGTCCTGCTCCTTCTCAGTGCTCCTTGTGAACTTATTTCTTTGTCTGAAACGGATCTCTGTACTTAGTCTGAAGTCTCAACACCTGACAAGATGTTTGTGTGCAGATATAGGACATAAATCCTTTGGTTCTCACTTTTAAACATTGGAATAATCAAAGTAGGGGAGGGCTTTGGAAACCAAGCTTCTTAGTTCCCCTTCTAATAGAAATCGTTGTTTTCTTGGACCTCCTAATGGTTTTGTTCTATTGAATTACTGGTAAATTGTGAATAGAAGATGAATAATGATCTGTTTGTTCTTAATGAAGGTGATGGGGGGACCACAGTGTAAAATACCTTTTCTGTTCAGACAGGGAGCTAATTTAAACAGAATACTGTAATGGAATTAATGTATGTATTTCTTCCCTATGAATCAATATGTTGTAATGGAATTAAAGTCACATGTAAAGTATTGTTCAGAGCTGTTCCTGAACTGAAACTACATAGTCCCTTTCCTGGATGAATTTTTAATAAATGAAGCTTATCCTTTGTGTCATAGAGCTGTACTTTCATGGAATTATCTTGAAGTGTATGGAGTGAGAATTGTCAAAATTTACAACTGTCTGTCTATATCTCTAACTGTGGTTTTAGAAGATGAAAATAATCTTTGAATATACGAGCTTTTCTTTAGCACCTGTGTGTTTCCAGCCTAATTGGTTTGTGCTCTTTATTTGGAAAGTCAGGGAGAAGTGTCAGAGAAAATGAATATGCTTTGTTTTGTTTTTATTTTTTCTTTTGGTGTCTGTGACGGATCTCTCTGACCAAAAAAAGCCACGCTGATGTTTACTTGTAGGTGTTTTCCCAAGGCAGATCTGCTGCTTGTCTGTTGTTGTTACCATATGTCCTGTCTGTGTTCATCTTCTTCTTTTAGCTGAGCAGACTCTGCCTGATTGTCTGCTTGCTACTGCAGCATCCAGCACAGTCATTCTAAAGCCTTTAAAAGCACGGTGGCAATGAAACCATCATTATTTTTAGGGACCTTAAAACCCCACATGGTTCCAGGGGGAGAGTCAGTGCCACAGGTGTTGAGTGCAGGGGGTTCCACGGCTGAAAAAGCTGTGAGACTTTGGTAAATCAAGAGCCTGCCAGGCCATGTTAACACAAAAAATGTTCTCTCTGGTTTGGGGATTCGTGAGCTGTGGACTTCCAGATATTGGTGGGATATGTAAGGGAGGTGTTGCTGTGTGTTTGTCTTATCCTGATGCTGTTCCCTAAGCACCCAGTGTTCGTGATCAGTCAAAAGTACAGCACTGGATGGACCTCTTGTCTTACCTTTTGTGTGCTGTTCAGGTGAAGTCACTCCTTTCTCCCCACACATGTGCTTGGAGTTCTTGGTAACTCCACAGCTCCAGGAGCTCCCTTGGTTCTCTAAAGCTGTCCCTGGAGATGGTGGTGGTGGTACAAGCAGTGCTACCATTGGCATGGGTCTGCATCCAGGTGTTTTTGGGGACTCTGGCAGCTGAGCACAGCCTTTGAAAAGATTTCATGTCAAATTTCGTGTTCAGCACAGAAAGTTTTCCAGTTTATGTGTAGCAGCCCAAGTTAATCTCCTGAAGAATTGTCCTAATCTCAAAATCCCAAACTTTGTAAAGCAACTTGCAGCGTGGATACCAGTTGCAATGAATGTGACATTAATTCTGAAATCGTGGTGTTCTGATCTGTTCATTGGCATCAAGCAGAATAGATGGTGGGATTTATTTTGAAGCACAATTCTGCTTTTAAAATAAAAAATGGCAAATGTCTGAGTCCAAGGCTTTTTCAAATGATCCCCAGTGCTTCGTGGTGAGCATTTGCTTTTTGCCATCTGCTATTTTCTGTATTTGTCAACACATGTACCCTTAGCATCTTGAATGAACAGGCAGATGCAAATTTCCAAAGCTAAAAAGGAGTTGGAGATCTTGCCATATGCCATCCAAAACATAACTAAATCTGCAGTTAAACCTCAGGATTGACCTTAATAACACAAAGTAGCGTGCAATTAAAAATGGTTGAACTGTAGCTTTGTAAGAATGACTTCACAGGGGCAAATTAGCTTAAAACTGATGAGTTTTTGAAACAGGAGCTGCTTCTGTTAATTCTAACAAATGGATGATAAAAAAGGTTAATAACCCAGAACAAAACTGTGCATAGACACCCCACGAGAGTGAATGTATCTGCTTACCTTTTTGCCATATTTTGCTTTGTTGCACTTAGGTTTTTTTCATTTGGTCAGGTCACAGCATACATTTAAGTGAATTATTGTGCTATAGATAATGTCAAATCCATCTTGTTCACTCTGTCCTTAAGAATAGTATTAACTTGACACAGAAAACAGGTTTGGCTTAAAAGTAGGTTTGATGTTTCCCCACACACACTTTCTAAGTATTTAAACATCTTTATAAATAATTTCCTTGCAACTTCATGAAACTTAAACTTGTATTTGAAAACATTTTTTGTGTACTTGGCATGTACACATAAGTAAATAAAACATTTTTATGTTTATTTGACTCTGGATCATCTTGATACTGTATTATCCACCAAATTTTGAGAAACTGTATCTTGTTGAAGTGGTAGGGGTTTGGTCTTTAATCTTCTGTCTGTGTGTTTGGGATCCTTGGGATACACACAGCATTTTCTCCACAGTTGGATTGCACAGTAGTTTCAACAAGGTGATTTCTGAAATGGATAAACAGGTTTTATGCTCTGTACTTGGTTTTTCAATTAATCCATTCAGCTTTTAGGAACATGCCTATGTTCCATTTCTGAATCTGTATGGAATTAGTTGAGGATAAAATTAGAGTAACAAAAGTAGGAGATTGGGGAGAAAAAAAAGTTACACCATCTTATTATTGGCACAATTTTTACATCCCCTTTTGGTCTAGCACTTTGTGGTCAAAGAACGAGTTGCCAGGTTGTTTGTGAATTTCCACCTAACTGCCCTGTATCTGAAAACTGCTTTTTACTGGGAATGAAGTCACCAAACACATAAGCTTTGTCTAGCTGAAAATCAGGTGTCTATTCCTGTTGATGCTGATGATATTATAGGATACCTTTCAACTGGAAAAAAAATTATTGTGCAGGAAAATTATATGCTGCTGTTACAATGTGTGCCCTAATCTTAAAGAAAATCCATGTAATTTGAGCAGGCAGTATGCAAGAAGCTCTTATTTTTAATGTGGTGAGGAAATAAATGTGCCATTTAACACACAGTGTTACAAAGATTATCTCTCCTATCAGAAGGGGTGGTGTGTGTGTATAAATACAAAGTGTTAAGGGGCTCACTTGATCTATTTGCAAGAGTAGAACATTTGAAAACAGGGGTGAGAATGACTCTCAGCAACCATAAGGAAAGATATTAATAGAAATTTAATTTAATGAAGCATAATAACTTCAAGAAGAGATTATTCCATGGAGCATGTTTAGGGGAAAGGCGTATGACTTTCTGAAGAGAAAAAAATCCATTGGATCTTATTAGATTTGTGTACATCTAAATTCTGCAACCACAAGAGATGCAGAGGATGTCATATATGTAAAGTTAAAGGGCTGCTTGCAGGACTGTTGTTTTAAAGTTTGCTGCAAAATAAATCCAGGATTACTCCTGAAAGGACCTGCCTATCGAGGAACTTCGTGCTGAGTTCAAATCGAGAATTTGAACCTCCAAAATGAAAACACTTTGAGTTTGGTGTTGGAAGTCACATAAAAATGCTTCTCACACTGAAAATCAGGCAGTGTGTGTATTCCCTTTTTAATAACCCTTGCAGGGTTTTTATTTTATATTTGAACAGCAGCAGCTTACTTTTTAGAGGTGTTTAACAGATCATCGTGCTTGGCTAACCCCACCTCCACCCAGCTGGTAGAAAGTGGAT